GAGGTTACGAAAAAAAATAACACTAGTTAAAACTAAAGCATAGCTTCAATCTAAAATGTTATAACACACCAAACAAGACTAAGGTTGACCTAATAGTCATAGCTTGTTATTATGTTACTATTATATTTTATAAAATAGCTGAGATAGTACGCGTGATCTGATTGGTCAAAAACCTATGGTTTATTATACCGGTAAACCCATAGAAAAAGGCATCCGGACCACGAGCCATAAACAAAACTGGCTATTGATCTGCAAACAACGATTTTAGAAAGGCTAAAAAACAGAACAAGTTACTTACCCAGCCCTTCTAAATATTCAAAGCGTTGGTTTCCACATTTTATTACTGAGCGTCACAATTCGCTACTGCCATAGCTTTAGAAGTTATAAAGTACAAAGCTGGAAAGCAGTTTACATTTCACGACGATGCCAAATCGCAGAGAAAGACAACAACAGTGTGAATTTCTTGTGTAGAAAGTCTATAGGAAAACTTAACCATATGCCAACCAGCAACAAAACGGATAGTTTTAGCATTCTTGATTTATTTTATGTCAAAATTAAATTCCTTAATGAAAGAAATTGTTCCAAAAAGAGATCTCTGATCAAGATATGGTACAAAATCGGCCGCTGTAGGTTGTAAACAAGCTGCCAACGATGATGAAAGATGTCAGAGTTTCGGGCTGGTTTTCTCCAACGTTTGTACAAATTATTCGGTGATATCGATGCCATAACCTACCTCAAACCACCTGGCTTCACAAATCGACAAATATTAATGCCAATATGTGGCTACGGCAAAAAAACCGACCTTTCTCCACCACTGACAGATTTCCATCGGTGACTGTATGTGCATGTAAAGTTACATGCGACAACTTCGCAAATGCAGCCACGTCGCAGCGTTTCTTGATCATGATAAAGCCCAGAAAACAGATCTTAAACCACTGCGGCTTGTAAAAAAGTGAATGAAGTCTTCCATTACAATAGCTGCCAGTTCCGTCTGTAAGCACGAAATTCTTACGGATCAACTCAACAAAATACAGCTGCGTACAGTCTGATGTTCAATTTTCTACTTCTTTAGTAAACAAACCATGAACGTATTGTTTCATTGTACGTTCGCATGAATATGTGTTGACTTTTCCTGTAAAACAGCTTTCATAAGTTATCATGTAACGAGTGCAAAAACTCATGTTTTGAAGTGCTGCTGTTTGTTGTTTGACTGAACTGAGTTTTGAGAAAGTTCTGCGCTATTAAATCGTGAGTCATGATTGGCTTATGATGACTTTAGAGAGAACACATAAATCGATCACGGTACTAAAACAATATTTTTTACCTAAAAGACTCCACTTTACTAAAGGTTATTTTATAAAAGCAATAGACCACACTTTCTATGGGTTTACCGGTGTGATAACCCACTTGGGATGTTGGGAGAACACTCAAAAAGCTTGTAAATCACTCGCCTTCGGCTCGTGATTTACAAGCTTTTCTCGTGTTCTCCCAACATCCCGCGTGGCTTATCACGCCGGTAAACCCATAGAAAGTGTGGTCTATTGCTTAAATATCATAGCTTATTATTATCTACTTACACCTGGTGAAAATAGATCAGATTCTACACCTAAACAAAAGAAAACAAAATAGAAGCTAAAGAAAATCGAGTGAGTGGGCTACAAAAAACAGCACAACTATCAAATTTACACAGTTTAATAATAATAGAAATTTAATAATACATTATTTTACCACAACGAATAACAGACAGAGGGCCTTAATCACTCACTATTCAACTACTTGTAAACTTTGTGCAAAACACGAATGTTTTCAAGCTGTCAAATACATCATTTGACACCTGTATTTAACAAACAACCATGACCTCTAGCTGATGGTGACAAACTAATAATTATTGAAATACAAGGCTGTGCTCTAAGGAAAATTGAAGGAAGCTCAGTGCCCTGAAACTGTAAAATCTAGGGTGCCCAGCATATTAATTGTATGAAAAATCTGAGATTTTCTAGTCACCCGAGGGCAAAAGTTAGGCGCCAGGGGTCACCGGGCTCTGCTAGAGCACAGCCCTGAAATAGCTTTCAGAAAGATGTCGTCAGCCTCATCTCAATCAAATACAACTGTGATACATCATGTGCAACATCAACTTTCTGTAGATATGATCCAGATTTATACTACAAACATATTTTTGACAGACTATCAATAAACAACATTAAGTGAAAAGAATGTGAAAATTACTGTAAATATTAAATAGTAAGATATCCTGGACAAACCTATCCCAAACAGCCTTTCTTTTTTTTTTCAATAAAAAAGAATTTAGTTTAAGAATATTTGTTCACCATTAAACAAGCATTACCCAATAGTGCCCACTTAAACTTCGTTGGGTCAGTGTTTATAAAATAAACTGAAGATAATCATATCAAATGACAGGTAGTGGGCAAATGCCAACTGGAGAAAATAAAGCACCTTGCCAGTAAACATACCTATATCCTGAGCTTTTTCAGTGTACTTGACAAGTAATGAGTTGCCAAGGCGAGATCCAAGGAACAGATACCCCTCACCACACTCACAAATCTGTTTAAAAAAAATGACAGATTGTGAAAAGGATTGAAGAAGTTAGGTTCCCCAGGAGAGTTTGTGGCAGCACAATGTACTTATTGTACAATAAGTTGAGAAATAAATTTGCCACCAGACCAAACTGAGAGATTGAGGGCTATGTGTTGTTTATATATCAGATGGTAGAGTTATGCCGTCAGTGGAAACATAGTACCCTAAAAATAAGAATGAATGAGTGCAATCAATGAGAAGTCTTCTAGACATCAATTTCATTAATATTATTTGTTTTAAATTCTTGTGTTGTCTGAAATTCTGCAGCAGTAACAGAGTGACCAAATCCAAATATTATGGTATTATTTAACAAAGGAAAATTTAATTATGCACAATACTGATATACATCTTTTATAATTTAAGGTTTGACTTATAACATTGTAATGAGGTTTTATTCTTCTATTATTGTCAAACAAAAGGATTTCATCCTCAGACTTACAAGCTGCACCAGCATTACAAGACTTTACAATTTACATGTCTAGGGAATATATGTCCAAAGTGAATCTTCCTGGTGTTACTTGACAATACAGTCGAACCCTTCTAACACGGACACCGAAGGGACAGAGCGAAGTGTCCGTATTAGAGAGGTGTTTGTATAAAAGAGGTCAATATGATGACCTCACTTTTATGACTCCACTTACAATTTTAAGTGTTCAGTAGCTAAAACCAGGCTAACAATCCTCTATTATAGAAAAAAAGTTGTCGGGACATTGTTGGGACATTGGAAACTGTCCGTAATAGAGAGGTGTCCGTACCGAGAGGTTCGACTGTAGTTAAAAACACAAGTCTCTATCTTTGAATTACAGCGTATTTGTGTTTCCAAGAAATGATTATGATAAGCTTTGAATACAATGTACATACGCATGATGTTAGAACACTGGCTGCTGCTTTGTCAAAATTAAAATTCCGAACACTTCTCACTCCATCAGCTACCAGGGTTACAACATAACTAAAAAAGATAAAATATACTGTAATAATAAATCACTGCATGAGTTTATTATGTAAAGTACAATGTTATATTTATCAACAGTTTGAAATAATTCACAATGAGTAAGGTGTTCATTCATTGCAGGATACTTTATGGGTTAGAGTTTAGGTTGGCTCAGAACAGTTTCTTGCTTCTCTTTGTGATATATTTGGATGCAGAGTTATTTCAAAAAGTTAAATGTAGTTTGATCATTATCAATAGTTTTTCCTGATCAGAAATAAAGCTGTAGTGAAGGCAAAGCACATTTATTTTCTTGAAGCTATTGATGCCTCAAACATATTTTCTGGTAAACAAAAAAATCATTAATTCACAAAACAAAAACATACGACTTACATTTCTCCTCCTTTTAATGAAAAAACAAGTTTTTCAGGTGAAATAAAAGTTGCTTGTGCTCCATCAAGGGTTATGACCACACCCTCCTGGGCTCCTACAGAATACACAACATGGTGTTTATAATAAAATAAAGTTGCATGACTCAGGTACATGTACTTCTGAGTACTACTAGTAGACAAAACAATTTAAGGACATCTGGAGAAATATTGTCATCGCAACTGTCACAAATCTTGAAAGCAAACATTGCCACTTTGAATTCTCTTTATAATTTTTTTACGTACAAAGATGAATGCATAAAAGAACAATATCTGAGTTGCTGTAAGTCAGTGATTGGCCTCCTTCTGGTGTTCCTGTTGTTTGAATTATAGCAGTATGTGAGCCAACAAACCATCCAAGTTACAGTGCGAGTCTAACAAGTAAAGCAAGTCACTTAGGAAGACAAGCAAGCCAGGATGCCAGTCATGCCAGCCATGAAGATACGTGACTATTTTTCACCTTGATGTATTGATGTTATTTGAACCTTGATTTGTAATGATGGAATAAATTGCTTTACAATTATTGACACACTTCTTTGCCCAATTTTACAGGTTAAAGTGAGAGATATGCATTGCCACAAAAAAAGAACATGCAATAAAAACATATTTTTATATAACACATATTTTAGAATCAGGCACTGAGTCAAACGAGTTGCTAATGTAGCTCACATTGTACTAGATATTTACAAAATGAATGTCATATGCCAAGGAAGAACACAGTATATAGTTTCGACTGAGAGATACTGTACAAATTAATTACAATAAAAAGAAGTCAGGTTAATCAGTCATACCTTCATGACACATCTTATGACTTGCTTAGTTTGTATGGCTTGTACTGGGCCTTGCCTGACTCAGTGGCTTGCACACTACCTACACCCCTATTGTTCACTGTCTATATAAGATATTCAAAAAGCGTTGCTTGCTTAAAAACCTTTCTAATGTGTTACTTAAGTTATGTGCAAATTGATAAATCTTTTCTTACGCAGAGGGAAGTCTGTGCTGTGATCAGCTATGCTGTTTAATGACACACCATAAGGAGGAACACTCTGATTCAGGTACAATAAAGAGTTTGTAGCACAAACTAACACCCCACCTGTTTAACAAAACAAACAGTTCCAGTTTTGAATAGATCTAAATATTGTATAGTTTGCAAAAATACAGCATTACATGAAGTATTCCTGATCAACACTTGCCAATTATTGATGCCCAGCTCAGACAGTAGTAGGCAGCAAGGGAGGAGGGCCTTTGCACCAAGGACAGCAGGTCAGTTCACGTACAAAATTTACTCAAATTTTAATACTGTTTAAAATATCAGAAGCAATGTTGGTATCAACTTTTTTTATTATTACAATTAGAACCAGTAGAGGCCTGATGTTTGTTATCAATGAACTCGAGTGTAGAGTAGACGGCAGATTTTTCATTGCAGGCAGCAAAATCGGGGGCTGCCAGCACATTTTGACTGGGCTGGATGCCATCATCCAACGAAACTAAATGAAAGTTAAATGAAAAAGGAGATGTACGGTGCTTAGAGAAGGTATAATGTAGATTGCTAATTTTGTGAGGGAAATGTTTCTAAAAAAGTATCATTTTGTTCAAAACCCAAAATTTTTTCAAAGAAGTTCTTGTAGTTAAGAATTATTTCAGTAAACATAAAACATTTTTTTCACATGTGTGGTAAGGGCAATTAAAATGCCCCCAGTATATTTAAATGGGAAAATAAATCTTGTGGCTGCGGTGTTGGTTTGAATTTGTGGTGTGTTCAGGCCTGCTGTTTCTAAAGAAATGTTCTTTTTGGCCCTTTTCTTTACAGCCATAACTATCTTTCCTTTATACTATTAATTAAGCAAACCACATAAAACATCTGTCTTTTTGTCTTTTAAACTTCCCCTTCATGACCTGGTGTTTATTCCGTTGGGGCCTAGTGTTCAATCAAGAAAAGACGGCACATGATAGATTACATCAACAGTTTAAATCAGACTTACCAATTGGTTTGGGAACAGCTAGCACTTGACTGCAGTCAAAGGGCAAATTATTCAAGGACCACACAACTGGGTGATTTCGTTGAGACAAGTTCAAAGAAACAGCTATCAAAGCACAGGTGTCATGACGCATGGCTAAACGGCTAGACAAAATGATGATGGATTTTATGTCAAAAGAAACACTACAAAACTCTTGCAAGATTTTAACAATTAATAAATAGACATATCATTTAGAACAGGTCTTATTCCATACAATTTACAATATTATTTTTGTAACCGAGACTAAGAATTTCATCTGTTATAATGATGTTAGTTAAATGATAATAGTTTTTCTTTAAAATGGGGTTGAACTGTAATTAAAGAAAAATGGTAGGTGAGATGGTCTTCTCAACAAAATCCCACATAGATACATCAGACATGGATAAAGGATTACATGTATGATAAACATAATCACTGATATGCGGGTAAAATTCTTCAAAGATACTTTATCCCAGAATATTTTTTGTGCATGTCAGAAGTAAAACTACAAGATTCTACAAAGTTTCAGAAGTTTCATATGATGTAAATAATGAGTGCTAAACTATTCAAAATGGTGCAGAAAATGCAGATGTATGATGCTTGCTGTAAAAGTCACCCTTTAGTACCACAGGATACCCAAGTACCAATGGAATTCCAAGATTATGTGTTGCATTCTCCTAACATACAATGTTGACTTTCTGTTCTGACCACACTAGGTGAGACTAAAATCTGCAATTTCCACCTCTAAGCACAACAGCGAGCATCTCCATCATTTTCACATGGGAGCCTGCCCTCTCTGGGTACACAAACTAGCAATCGCTTGCCCATGAACCAAATTCAGCCCACTATAATTATATTTATAGCCTAAACTAAATAAACAGTCACGGTTAACTCACCCTGGCCAGGTTTGTAATGGTTCGTAGAGCAACAGTAGAGTTGGTTCATAATAGCCATGCAGAAACTGAATGTCTACAATATTACACAGTTTATCATGTATATCCTTTAGGTTGACAGTGTAACTTGGTAACAGGGCTGAACGATCTCCACTGCACACAAAAAAACGGGATAATTACACATTACGACGGAATGAGTATTTTTCATTTTAAGTTGAGAAAAACCTTGTACTAGAATAAAATTATTTTAAGCCATATCACATTCTTTTTTAACACTTTTCAAGGGCTGTAGATGTAATTAGTTAGTTATCTGTAATAACACCAAAGACAGTTTCTTATGGGAGCCCAAGAACATAAATGTCAAATTTTATAAAATGACATCTCAACACATGAAATTTTCAGAATTTTACCTGTGTTTTCACAATTCCTGTGAAATTTGACATTTATTTTCTCGGTCTCCCATGGGGAATAGTCTTTGGTGTTATTACAGATAACTATTACATCTATAGCCCTTGAAAAATATAAAGAAGAATGCAACATTGTTTAAATTATTCTGGTACAAAATTTTCATCAAGTGAAAATTAAAATTACTCAATTTCCTAATGGATTTCGCCTTAATAATGAATTTTCTGGTCATGATGAAATTATGGGTAGCATAA